GCAACGGAACCTCACTTTAAGATCGATTCCATAGAATGTGTCGCTTAAAGGCATTCATTATATTATATTTAGTGTACTATTCAATCATATTTAGCGCAATATTTATCAGTAATTTTTAAATAATTAAATGTAATAATGAAATATAATCATAAACTATAACTATTATATTGAGATTTGTACGCTATTTTGGAGGTTTAAATAAATATTTTTACGACTAATTAACCGATTTTGACATAAATTTGATGCAAATTAGATAAACATTATATCAAATAGTAATCTAAGACTAAGATCATTAGTACTGTTATGAATGATAACAGAAATCATGGATTTGCCGTTCAGCGCACCGGTTGCACCGATTCACAGAATTTGGCAAAATTTCAAAAAATGTCAGACCAGAGGACGCATACAAAGAGGAGGACAAGAAGACCTCGTCGGTTGTCTCATTCAATTGGTACGACCACTCATATAATGATTATAGCGACAGCTATTAGTGTGACGGCACTGGTAATCATTGGTGACCTCAAGTATTTGGATTCAATGTGATTAAGAATTTCATTAAAAAATCAAAATCAATTCAAATATTAAAACAAAAAATTCCTTAATAAAAAACATTTATAAAAATATATTAAGTCTTCATTAAACACCAATTAATCAAATTAGTAACTATAAAATCACAAACAATGTGCAGAGTTTACAAATGAAATGCAATTTAATTTAAAATTTAATCTTGGTAATACCGTAAATAGAACATAGTTAAATCCAATAGATGTACAGTGTATACTTTTACGTTAAGTTAATTTAAATGTCAAAACTTTATCGAAATTTCATAATTTAAAAATTAACTCACATTTGTTTCATATCTTATTCAAACCGTACAATTACTTCCATAGTATAAGAATAGCGGATAAATAAAAAATATTATCAAATAACTTATAATTGATTATCAAATATTTAATAAAAGCATTAAAAAAGTCGATAGTCTTTAGGGAACCTAACATTTATCGATCGCTTGTATGAGGTCTCCAAATGAGTCCAATTCAATTGCTTGAATGCCTAGGTATTCAGTAAACAAACCATTAGTTCAATCAAATAGTTGACCACTTTTTCAAATAACCAATACCTCAATGGTCTTGAGCTCCACCTCATGAGTGGCTTTATTCTCCTGGAGTTTACCAAACAGTTTGACGGCTCGACCGAAATGCTGGTGCAATAGGGCGTGACGTTCAGTAAATTTGGCCACTTTTTGGTCGTACGGATCAATCAGTTTACAGATCTCTGCGTAGACTTCGTTGGCGTCGGAGATAAACTGGTCGACAGTTGGCGAGAGTTTAGCGTCGGAAGCGGTCGAGTCGGCCACAGCTGTGGCGTTCGGCTCTTTGGATCCATTGGTAGATACCGTGTTTTGGGCGTCGATTAGGTCACAAATGGCTAAACCCTTTTTGACCAGCGCTTCCAAAACAGTAGTCTTTTGTTTTTCCAAACTTTTACATTACAGACAAAATTAATCATAAGTTAATTAAAAAAACAATTTTGTAAAACAAATACTTTTTCATTGCATTATTGTTCGCATTATTCGTTGAATTATTGGTATCTTTCTTCTCACTCTTGGCGACGGCTAACGATGCGATCAAATCATTAACTTTTATCAAATCCAACACATCATTGGCTAAATTCAATTGAGTGCTCAGATGTTGTGTGCGCTGAGGGTCGGCGTCGA